ACACACACACACACACACACACACACACACACACACACACAGGAACTTGCCATATAGACATTTTTATTACAATCAACTTATGTGCAAGCATTTATTAAGTACCTACTATGTGGTAGGCACTAAATGGATATTGGGGATACAACCCCCGCAAAAATGAAACAGTTCCTTTTCTCAGGGAACTTATGTAGTATTGGAAGAGACAACCTGCTCATGTATAATATACAAATTATGCAGAGTAAATATCTACAGAACAAATACAAGATAGTTAGAAGGGGAGTGAATTATTAGCCAGCATCAGGAAAGGTTTTGATTTAGCATGTAGTGGTTGAGTGGAATCTTGAAGATAGTGAAGTATTCTGTAGCACATAATACGGACTTCATAAATGTGTTTTGAATGAATTAATTATACGGGGCAAGAGGAGATGAGATTAAAAGGCAACAGAGGGGATTTAGACTGGGAGGCATTTTTTAAGGGCAGAAGTAAATATCGATGTCTTTAATTTTTACATCACAGAAATTTCTCCCATTATTCTTCCTCCTCCTCCTTCCTATGGAGACCTCTCGCATAACAAAGAATTTTTAAAGAAAAAGAGGTAAAATAGAAAAAAAAATAGCAAAAATCAATCAGCACATAAAAAAGTCTGAAAATTATGTGTAAATTTTCCTTATTTGGGGACCTAGGCTGGGAAGATTTTATAAAATTGTGAGAAGCTACATATTCCTTCTCTGCTGTCTGTTTTTGTTTGTTTGTTTTAGTTGTTGTTGAAGACAAGTTAGCCACTATTTGTCTGTAGTTTGAGAAGTATTATCGTGTGGGGATCTAGGCCACAAGTCTGAGGGTTCTGTCATTTTTTGTCTGTTTCCCTGGTTGACAAGATTGTGGGTCATCCGTCTGGACACAGAAACAATTGTGAGGGTTCCTGGTAGAGGGGGAAGCCTTGGGAACAGAGCCAGAGGGGCAGGGAGTAGGTGGTAGGTCGAGTACAGGAACACTTTGCCACCCCGGAGTCTAGACCTGAGAGCTGATAAAAGGTGGAGATTAGGGTTGTGGTTTAGATTTGTTACCACCTCCCCTTGCTGTTTTATCTCTGGTGAGAACAGAGCAACATCTTTCGGAGCTTCCTTCTAGAGTTGCTGAGTTGTGAACAGAACAGAATTATGGGCACTCTGTGCTTTCCCTCCCCCTCTTTTTCCCTCTCTTGGTAGGGGGCCCGGGCAGGGCTATGGGGTAATATGGAAGGATGCTTTTGGGAAGGGGGGAAGGAAGGAGAAGCAGACTGGGACACTGGTTGATGTCTCTGTTGGCCACACAAACCACCTCCTCACCCCAGTGCCATATAAAAATTACTTGGTATATATGTTTTATTCATATATCTGTTACCTGTTTCCTCCGGTAGGAATATAAGGTCATGGCATCATATAAATTCTGGAGGGGTCCTCAGAGACATCTAGTCCAGCCCTGTCATTTTATAGCTGAGGATTAGGTCCAAGGAACTGGAGTGACTTGATTTGCTAAGAGGTGGTATTTGAACCCAGGTCTTTTATCTCCAGAGCCATTCCATCTTCCACCTTAACATGCTTTCCTTACACCCTCCCCTTTGCAAATCACAGCATTTACTTTGACTGGTCCTGGAATAGCAGGCAATACTGGGAGAGAAAACAATGCCTACCATCATGAGATTTCCAGAAGCTATAAAAATGATCTAGGCAGCTCCCTTGAGGAGCTAAAACAATCTCATTTTTGTCTTTGTATTTCCAGTGCTAGACACAGTGCCTGAAATAGAGTAGGTATTTTTGTTTGTTGAATGAACTGAATAAATATGATTCCTTGGCTCATAGGAGTTAAAATTGAGTAGGAATCAGTGGACCTGAGACCCAGGTCCTCTTCATTACCGTATCATTTTTCTTTAGCTTAAGAGAGTTCCAAGGGGAGTGGGGGAAGGGGAGAAAGACCCTGGACAACCTACATGTTGTTATTGTTCAGTTGTTTGCAGTTATGCCTGAGTCTGAACATACATGGACCACATACATGGAAGTTGTTAAATGTGACAGGTGGGAGAGGGGCCATGTAACCCATGGACGTCCACTCAAATGAGTTGCAAGATCAGATTTGTAGCTGTTGTCTTGACCAGTTGTGCTTTCTCACCTATTTAAGGATTTCATTTCCTTTTAGGCCAAGAAGCACCTGGCAGCATTTGCCTAAGAATATCCATGTCCTAGAACAAGGGTTATTAACCTTTTTTAGTGTAATGAACTCTTTTGGTAGGCTGATGAAGCCTGTGGACCCAGTGTTTTGTTTTTAAATCATAATTGAAAGAAATGCTAAATTTCAGTTAGCAGTTAATGAAAATAAACGTTTTTTCCCTGATCCAATTCACCCAGAACTTGACTCCCTAGAGTGACCTAGCTCTTGGCACATACCCCTGTGTTGATACTGAGACTCTGCTGTCCCATGAGCATTTGAGCAAACTGAACATTGGCCTTATCTCTCCTATTTGAGACCCGAGTTTGAATCTGAACTCTGCACCTCACCACTTTTGTGACTTTGGGCAAATTAATTATCCTTTTTGGGCCTTGATTTCTTTATCCACAAAATGAAGGTCTTGGAGTAAATGGCCTCTGAGATCCTTTTCAGCTCTTAAATCTATGATCGCTTACCCCAGAGGGGTCAAATTTACATCCTGGTCCACAAAACTCCTGAAGGAGGCCCAAACCAGATTCAAATGTAATTGGGAAATATTTAACAAAATAAATTAAAATATAATACAATATAGATAATGTTAATTTGTGACTAAGTCAATATGCTTGCCTGCAGGGATCATTTCTATTTGAGTTTGAGACTACTGGCTTACCCTCATAGATGAAAATTTGCTGGGAGTTAGGAGACCAGAGAGCTCACTCTTCTCCCTAATTTCACCATTTTTCTTTGGCTTTGGGAGGATTCAGGTGTGAGCTAGGGAAAGAAAGAACACTTGTTTGGGGACCCTACTTGGAGCCTGCTAAGTGTAGCGTATAGAGGAGGGAAATAAGGATGGTAAGAAGAACAGAAACCCTTCCATAAGAAGTTCCACAAGAAGGAGCTGGGGATGTTTAGCCTGTATAAGGCTAGACTTGAAGTGGAGGGCATGAATTTAGAGTATTGTCCAGTGGAAGATCAATTCTACTCTCTCTGCAGAGAGACAGATTTCAGCTTGATGTAAAAAAGAATTTCCTCATAATTAGAACCATCCAGATATGGAGTTGGCTATTTCAGGAGATACTTCCCCATTTTAGAATGTCCTCAAATGTGAAGGCTAAGTGGCCTCTGGTCAGGGAGAGATCACTGTTCAGGTACCAGTTGGACTAAATGACCTCTGAGATGTACATTCCAGCTCTGAGATTCAGTGATTCAGTCTCCCCTTCCTTCATTTCCAATTGATAGCACAATCCCCTTCACCACAGTACTTTCGGAAGAATCAGGGCCTTGGGATTGTTGCACATACACATGTATGCTGTGGTCCTAACCCTCCCACCCAAAAAAAATCTTCTCCCAAATTTGTTGGCAAATAGATACCAATGAGATTGATGTACGAGTACAAAGTTAACCATGCATCTAGCCCATTAATTACAGTGCCTTTAAGTAGATCTTTTAAGCTGTGAACCATGCTGTAGTGGAAGAAATCCTGGTTCTGGAGTTAAAAGAAGAACTGAGTTCAAGTTCCAGCTGTCTCACTTTCTAGCAATGTGGCCTTGGCAAATCAGTTCTCTCATGTATAAAATGGGGGTGGGGGATTGACTTAGATGATTTCTCAGATCCCTTTTTAGCTCTAACATTCTATTGTTGTTATTCTCCTATGGAGTGCAAAGAGGCCACTCATGGGTTTGGTCCCAATCTGATTGGTATGGGAACTTTGACCTGTTCCTAGGCTAGTTTGCCCCTTCTTGGCAAGCTGGAGTCCTCCCTCTGCCCCCTCCACCCCTGCCAGGGGCTGGAGAGCTTATATTAATGCCCAGCTTAGTGTGGATACCCAACTGGCATAGCCCACTGCAGCTCAGAACTCTGGAGCTCAAGAGAGTCGCCACCCTCAGCCCTCCCTAGTAGCTGAGATTGATTATAGGCCTGTACCACTGTGCCCAGCCAACATTCTGTTATTTTATGAATTGTCAACCATGATTTTCTTTCAGGCTTCCGAGAAAAGAGCTCCTAGATGCTGCCTAGGTACACCCTCAGTGCTCTGGGCATCTAGCCCCTGCCTCTCTATGCTCACCCACCCCTCCGTAGCTTTTCCTTGTATGCATGCCTCCTTGCTAAGCCTCATCTGCTCTAGACTCCATCTCACGCTCGGTAGTCCAGAGGACTCTGGAGAGAGCAAGCCAGAAGCCCCCATCCGATGGAAAAGGCAATTGGAGAGTCTGGCCCACAAGCCCTGTCCTGATTTGGAATGGAATTCCCTGAACCCTCCTCCTTTTTTCCGTCTCCCCACACTGATCCCTAAATTAACACTTTATTTGAGAGTGACCCCCCTGGTGACTTGGCACTTTGGGCCCAGCTGCCACAGTGATTGACACAAAGCCAATCTATAAATAAAGTCTTTTTCTTTTCTCATAAAGACTTTGTGGTTGAGTTTGCCTTCAAGGTCAAGATCAGACCTTTCTAAATAAACACATATCAAAGGATCATTAGCAAAGCAGCACTGTTAAATTGAGATATTAACTTCTGTCAACTGCTTGTTTTTTTTTTGGTTCTGTAACTCATGACTGCAGTAGGTTTTATTATTTTGTCCTTAGGCGGTAGCATCTGGCTTCTGTAGAGACTGTAAAAATTAAAAAGCAACACAAATCATTGCGAGAGAAAAGCAGTAAATTCAATGATAAGAATTTAAAATTAAAATGTTTCAGTGCTTTTATATTCTGCAAAACATGAAATGAACGAGTTTGCTGCCTGTTGCCATAAACCCAACCTTGCTAATTGTCTTCATGAGTTTCTCTCCCCCATCCTCCCCATCATAATCAATTCTCCCTTGGCATAGGGCTGGCAAGACATAAAATCAGAGCAGCATTGTGGGGGTTCTCAGGGCAGGTGCATTAAAATTGGTTAACTCCAGGCAGAAGGTGATGGGTACAAAGAAAACACTTAAGTCTCTCTTTGAACTGGAACTGTCCTTTTTTTTTCTCCCCCTTCCTGGCTAAGCATGGAGATACCTGATTTACAGACCTACACAGTGGCTTTTGGTTCTGAGATAAGAGTATAAGGAGGAACAAACAAAGAGTATAAGGAGGATTAGGCCCAGAATAAGGGAACTAAGCAGATGTGATCACTTTCCCTGGCAACCTATCAGAACATGGAAGACCACCATCTCTTTGGGTGACATCTAGTTAGGATGCTGAGGGATGAGATGACTTCCTTCTGAAAAATTAAATTATATTTTTAAAAAATTAGCAAGATTTTATTTTTCTTGCCACCCAGCCTCATTAAAAAAAAGAAAAAAACAAAACTCTTTAATAAATAAGCAACACAAATTCCCATGTCTAAAAATATGTATCTCATTCTGCGTATTAGACCCCTCTCTGTCAGGAGGTGGGTCACATTCTTCATCACTGGTCTGAGAAGGGGACTTCTCAGGTCCTTTCATAGCCTGAAGAGTCAGTGATTCTATGGTGGATCCATTAATTTATTCATTCGGCAAATGTTGATTCAATTTTGTAAACATTTATTGAGTATCTGTTATGTGAAAGGCATGGTGGAACATCTCCTGCCTGCCCAAAACTGTGGTAGGTGTAATGCGGTTTTTAAAAAATCAGATCAGCAAAGGGATGGTTGACTCCTTGCCTTTGGGGAACACAGCCAGACATGAGAACTAGTGAACAAGCTCAAAGCAAATAGAAGCAAATGCAGAGGTGTGTAGCATCAGCTGTATTGAATGTGGAGGAAACTGAAGCAGGTACTTGTAAGGGAATGATCCCAGTGGAGTGGGGGCTAGCCAAGGGAGATGGTACTTGAGAAAGGTGAGTGCCAGGGAGTACTAAGTTCTGGTTGTTATTCACCTCTAGCCAAATGGGCTGGTAGAGCGGAGGGAACTGGAGGGGCTGGTGTCAAGGCCCCCAAGGAGGGAGAGGGAGTTGGGGGGCTGGGAGGCTGGAGAGGACACATAGGTCACTTTTTATGTAGCCTGTCGGAGTTTGACTGCTGGACCCACAAGCAAGCAGGCAGGGTCCTTTGTCTCAGCTGAATTTCTCCAGCCTGGGGAGAGGTGAGAAAAGGGAGCCAGAGACTTGGCCCCAGTCAAAGAGAATGAGGGAGAGTGTGAAGATTAGGGACGGAGGGGTCGAGTTAAGAGGGTATGACTAATACGGCCGGTCATTCAGATAGGAGAGCACATTGTTCTCTGGGTCCAGATGGTCCTTGGAATAAATCAGTTCAGGCGGAGGCAGGCTTTCCAGTACAAGAAAGTTTGTTCAACTGCTTGCTTGCTTGCTTGCTTGCTGTCCAATAATGATGGAACCTAATCCCTTCTCCCTGAATTATTTACAGCCCCCGAGTGGATGCTACCAGAGGTGATTTGTGTGAGTGTGCTTTTAAAAAACAAACATTTAGGGAGGGGAGGTAGAGAAGGGGGGAAGGGATGTACTCTGAGAGCAGAAGGAAGGGGATAACCCTAGGCTTGTTAGTCTGACCCTTCCCCCACACCAAATTCAAACCACGTTATATGGGGAAAGGGGTAGGGTTCCCCCAGCATTCATCACTGCCCTGTTCATCTCCATCACTCTCTTCACAAACACATGCCCGCTCCAACAGGTGTTTTTCACGTGGCCCTTAGCTCTGTAACCAATGTACGGAAAGGGAAGGAGGGAATAACCATTTATATATACTACTGTGTGCCATGTGCTGTGTTAAGCAATTTACAAATATTAATTCATGTAATTCTCACAACAACCCTGTGAGGTAGTTACTGTCATAATCATAATATAATAGTAGAATATATTATGTTATTATATATAAAATTATATCATTTTACGCATGAGGAAGCTGAGGTAAACAGATTGTAAGTGACTTACCCAGGGTCACACAGCTAGTAAATGTCTGAGGCTGTATTTAAACTTGTGTCTTCCTGATACCAGGCCCTCTGCTCTATCCACTGTACTACCTAGCTACCTCTAAGAAGAGAGGAAGAGGAGTAAGAGTGCCCCCAACAGCCTGGTATAGCAGAAAGAGCATTAGGTCTGGATTCAGAGAACCTGGTTTCAAACCCTAGCCCTGCCATGTGATGATATAGGACTTTGTCACTTAACTGCACTGGGCCTCAGTTTCCCCATCTGTAAAATGAGTGGGTTGGATTAGATAACCTCTAAGATTTCTTCCTGTTCTAAATCTATGATCCTGTACCCTTTCTCATCCCATCTTGTCCACTCTTCTGACTCTGGTCATAACTTGGCCCAATTGTACAGGCAAGGGACAATTCCTTATTCCTAAAGATACCGGAGGGGAAGGAGGTGGCCCTAAAACTTCTGGATTTCAAGTCAGAGGACTTGAAATCAAATCCAAGCTTTTCTGTTTATTATCTAGGTAACCTTAGATGAATCTGTTGTTGTTGTTTAGTCATTTTTCCTTCCTGTCTGACTCTCTGTGACCTTGTTTAGGGTTTTCTTGGCAAAGATAGTTTGCCATTTACTTCTCCAGCTCATCTTACAGATGAGTAAACTGAGGCAAACAGGGTGTCTGAGGCCGGATTTGAACTCAGGAAAATGAGTCTTCTCCATTCCAAGCCCAGTGCCACCTAGCTGCCCCTTAGGTGAGCCACATAATTGTAACCATAGTAGTAATAATAATAATTGCTAACATTTATGTAGCACCTACTATGTGCCAGGCACTATACTAAGTGATTTACAAATGTCTCATTTGCTCCCCTTTGGACTTCAGTTTCCTCATCTGTACAATGGACAGGGTTGGACCATGTGGTCCCTTCTAAATCCTGTGATTCTTGGTCCAGGGTGGGGTTGAAAGCCATCAATCCAGCAATAGGAACAGTCTGTCCCAGAAATCAGGAATCTTGACCTTGCCCTCTCTCATCTACTGGGCAGTAGCCAAAAACATCTAAGCTTTTAAATTTATTTATTTATTGGGAAAGAATTCATGGGTGGGGGAGGGGGCTCGTAGCTTAAAGTTGAAATGAGGAGGAAGCCGGAGTGGATGGAGGGAGAAGGGTTGGGAAATAACTGAGCTGGAATATCACTAAGTAAATAAGAATAATCAAACAGACACTCCCCGGAGAGAATTTTCCTTCTATGAAGATGTTAATTAATATGAACGCCATGTCCTCGACTCCGGAGGCAGCCTTTCCAAGCAGGCTGTGGATGACTGCTGATCCCCACCTCGAGTAAATTGTAACGTTGGGGTCTTCATCTTGGCTCCTCTCCCTGCGCTCCTTCAGGGAATCGAGCTGTGTTCCTGCTCGTTCAGACATTAAATAAGTTGCTTTGTGCAAAATTAAGTGTATATTAAATAAATGACAGCGGCGCAGTGAGGGAAGACTCTGGCGGCCTCCCAGTCCAGCAGCCCCGGGTGAAGCTGGAGCCTGAAATGAGACTAACCCCCCCCCTCCCATTTGTATACAGCAATTTACAGTTTACAAGCCACTTTTCTGACATAGGATCTTCTTAGAACCTCACAGTAACCCTCTGGGAGTAAGTCGGGTAGGCTGGAAGTCTTATCTTCATTTTGTACATGCAGAAATTGAGACGAGAGATGTGAAAGGGAGACATTTTGGTCTAGGGTAAAAAGCATGGGATTTGGTGTCAGAGAAACAGGGTTCAAATCTTGACCGTTCTACTTATCACCTCTGTGACTTTGGGCAAATCACTTAGTTTCAGTGGGCATCAGTTTCCTCATTTGTAAAATGTGGAGGTTGGACTTGATGATCTGTCTCAGGTCATTCCTAGCTCTGAACCCTCTGATCCTATGACTTGTCTAAGGTTATGAAGCTAATAGAGTGGTAGCTTGGCATAGAAGACAGATTATGGGATCTAGATTCAGGAAACCCTGGGTTCAGATCCTACCTCTAAAACTTATTAGCTATATAATCATGAGCAAGTCACTTAATAATATCTCTCAGCTCAAATTTCCTCATCTATAAGATGGGGATGATAATCCTTTTTGCAGTTTACAAGCTACTGACAGAGAATCTTGTTTGATCCTCATAACAACGCTGTGAGAGTATGTAGGTCAGACAGGTAGTTTTATTACTTGCTTCACAGGGTTATTGTGGAGCTTAAGTGAGATACTGTATGTTAACCTCTTTACAAATGTAGAGGTATTATGATATGATGGATGTAGCATCAGGTTTAGGAGTCAGGAAAACCTTAGTTCAAATCCTGCCCCAGACAACAGCTGTGTGATCCTGGGCAAATTATTAACCTCTTTGATCCTCAGTTTCCTCATCTGTAAAATGAAAACACAAGGCCTGTAGGCCAGTGTGGACCACAATACTCTGGAGTGCAGCATAAGCCAGATTAAAATGTAATATTT